AAACGCCAAGATGAAGGGACTGGAGTCTATGTCCTATGAAACTAGGTTGAGAGAACTAGTGCAGACCTGGAGATGTTTAACCTGGAGAAAAGAAGATTCTGGAGGGACAGGGTAGCTTTCCTCAAGTATTTGAAGATATGTTATATGGAAGAGGGATCAGACACGTTCTATTTACATCAGAGGGCACAATCAGTAAAAAATGAGTGAGAGTTGCAAAGAAGCAAATCTAAACTCAATGCCAGGAAAAATTTCCTAATAATTAGAATGGACCTAAAATGTAATAGGCTATTTTAAGTGGTTGCATTCCTTCTTTCTTGGAAGTATTCAAGCAAAGGCTGGATGACCGTATTTTTGGTTTTATAGTGGGGTTTCCTTTTGTGTATGTTTTGGAAAACATAGCTTCTGAGATCCTTTCCAATTCTCAAATTCTATGACATATATATATATATATATATATACATATATATATATATATATATATATATATATATATATATGTATATATATATATATATATACATATATATATATATATACCTATTCTTCTTGTAATAAAAACAAAATTTCCTCAAAAATAGATGAGAGAAGCCTAAAGAGAGATTAGTTTGAGATCCAGCTAAATAAAATTATTCCCCAAATGCTCATAGATGCAAATAGAAGAAGGCAGCAAACTGGCGTCTGATAAAATATGTCTGCCAGCATTTTTATGTGATTTATTTTCATTGGCAGCAATAGTGGAACCACCACATTTGGACTCTACCCAAAGTATGTACGATGTTGAGAAGTGGCAAGTGCACATAAGCAAGTGAAGCATTCGTTTTAAAATTTAAAAAAAAAATGAATCTCCTAATATCTCAAAAATAGCCAAAGGAATGCAAAAATCACAAATAATTGTTATTGATCATGCTTTCTATGACATCTTTGAAAATGTTCCACATGGTATTTAATTTAACATATTCTCGATTTCAAACTTGAGAGGTGAGCAGGTATATTTTCCCAAGAAATTTTCTACAATAGACTACTTTTTAATCAGACAACTGACTAAAGCATTTAGAGAATATAAAATCCTACTGTGTTTATTATAAACAATTTGTAACAGGGTATGCAACTTGTTAAAGTAAAATATGTTCATAAGACTCTCCTCAGTCATGATATATCTCACATAAACATTAAAATTATTTTTAAAAACTTTATGACAGACACAACTATAGATAAAATTGTATTTCAATGTTTGGTGAATATTGATGTCAAGTGAGGTCTTATGACATCTCCAGTGTCATGGTAGCAGTCCTACACAGGATTCAATTAAAATAATGGCATATTGTTGTTGGCAAATTTCTCCACAGTGTCCCTATTTATAAATTTTATTATACTAACTAAATTGAGCAAGTATGAAATCCACAGTATTAAAAAAATGATCTGTCTGATCATTTACACTAGAAAAACTTAAGTGGATGAAAAACACATTGCAGAAATTATAATGTGCAAATGGATTGTCAGTCCATTAAATTAATCTATCCACTTGAATATCTTAGACAGGACCTTGAACAAAATTTCCAAAACTGAATAAGAGGAAATTTCCTGAATTGTATTTGAGAAATTACGAAATGTTTTCAGTACTTCCAAGTTCCTTACTGTTACAGAAACTCATCTCTTTAACACGATTATCTTCTGTGTATCAGTAATTAAATACTGTGGTTTGGGAAAATAATTAAAAGAAGACATATGGCTGAAACAAGCTTCTTCATGTTTTCTATAAAGTTTTTCATTGAAGCACTGACATAAAGGGCATTAGTGAAGATATGTATGATTAGAAAATAATTTGATTTGATCTATTAGTTAGAGTGATAGAAAGTAGACAGGGAATACTATCATACCTCTCAGAATGTCAAAAATATTAAAAGAAAAAGTGAAGAATTCTAATATTGTGAGGAGCCCCTATATTGAATATTTATGGAGAAATATGGTCAAAAATTGCCAAGGATAAAAAGGTTTTAAGTAATTAGAATTTGCATATGTGGCAAGGTGTACCTGTAGGGATAAAACAATAAATCCCCCAGAGTATAAAAATATGTACACATACTATGCTAAACCTTTCAGTGTTAAGCATAACCAAAAGTTTTCATGACTTTAAGTACTTTTTTGTTCTAGGTTTTTTACCCTAATTACCTAAGATAACTTCAATTTCTCAGTTAACTAAGAAAATTCATCCCAAACACATTTTCAGAATGAAACCGGAAGGACAACAAACAAGTAAAAGATAAATCAACAACCATTTATTGAGTACTTACTATATGCCAGTCACTGTGCTAAGTACTGGTAAATATAAAGGCAGAAATAGTCCCTAACTTCAAGAAGATTCCATTTAATGAATGATTCAACTTACACATAAATAGGTGTATACAAGCTGTATTCAGAGTAGATTCAAGGTCACCTTAAAGGGAAAAGCAGTAGCAGAAGAGGGGCCTGGGAAATGCTTTCTGAAGTAAGATTTGAGTTGAGCATTGAAAGAAACCAGGGTTTCTAAAAGATACAGGACAGAAGGAAAAGCATCGAGATACAGGGGCAACAAATACAAAGGCATAGAGATTGGAGATGGAGTGCTGTATGTGAGGAACAGCAAATGGGCCAGTATGACTGGATTGTAGAGTATGTAGAGGGTAAAATGTAAAAGGACAAGAAAGATAGGAAAAGCCACATTGTGAAGAACTTTATATGCCAAACAAAGGACTTTATATTTGATCTTGAATATAACAGAGAGCCACTGGAGTTTATTAAAATGGGGAAGGAATGGCCAGACCATAGGAAAAACATTTTGGTGACAGTATGGAGAATGTATTGCAGAGGGGAGAGACTTCAGGGAAGGAGACCAGTTAGAAGGCTATTTTAATAGTTCAGGGTACAGGAAATGTGTACTTTGACAAGAGTGGTGGATATATGAATGGAGAGAAAGAAGCATATAAAAGAGATGCTGAAAAGGTAGAAACAACAAGATTGAGGACTGATTGAACATATGGAGTGAGTGAGACTGAGAAACCAGGGATGTTACCTGAGTGCTCTGATCCTTGGTGACTAACAACATATCCTACAAGTAATAAGATAATTTGGGAAGAGAATGGGTGTGGGGTAGGACCTGTTAAGTTTAAGGTACCTGTGGGGCATCTAGTTCAAAGTATTCATTAGGCAGTTGGTAATATGGAACTGGAACTTAGGAAAGAAAATAGGGTTGGACATATAGATCTTAGAATCATATGGACAGAGATAATAATTGAATCCATAGAAACTGATGGATTGAAAATAATGAAAAGAGAAAATGGCACAGGACAGAGATTTAGGAGATATGATAGCTTTAAAAAAAAAGAATGGGAGATATAGGTATATTTATAGGTAACAAGAAATGAGCTAATAGATAAGATTAAAGACATGAGGATGTCTTCTCTTCTAGAGAAGATAGGAGGGGATGATATCAAGGGTGAACACTGAGAAGTTGACTTTGGCAGAAGAAGGGCTACTTGGAAGGAAGGGAGGGAGGAAAGAGAAAAGAAGAAAAGAACGGAGGGAGAGAGGAAGAATTTGCATAATCAACTCTTCTCATAACAAATCTTTTCACCAACAAGAACAGTGGATCCTACACATTTGATATCTAACATCACAGTTCCAGATGTGCTTCTAAGGGAAATATTGCTAAAGATAACAAAAAATGAGAATGGCATATGGATATAAATGGTCTGAGTTAAAGGCAACAAATTGGAGGGTACTGAAGGATCAATTCTTAAGATACCTGAAGGAGGCACAGATACCAATTGAATAAAAACATCTTACTTTATTATTGACCACTCTCAACATGACAGAAAAACATCAGTAACTAAAGACACATATGTCTCTTTTCTTGTCTATATAAAATTGTTGTGAAAATAATCTATGTGTATATCAAGGCCACCCTTGATAAGGATATTAGAAGAGAATAGGAAGACTTTTGAAGCAATAATCTGCAGCAGATCATGACTTTCCATCTCCTAACTCCTTGCTATCGAACAGGTAGTTCCCCAGGCCTATAAATGTGGTCCTTCCTTCTTCCTGCCTCTTAGAAACTTCAGGCCTCTTCAGAGCTAACGTGCCTCCTCCTATATAAGATATTTCCTGATCCCACCTCAGCCAATTGCTAGTGCCCCCCAGCCCTTGAAAATACATAGCACATAGTAAGTACCAAATAAATGTTTACTGATTGATAGATTGATTGATGGATTGATTGATTGATTAAGAGAGCTCAAAAGTTAGCACACTGTGGGTCCATCCTGTATGGCAAACTTATGGAAGGACATAGAGTAAAGTCACACAGAATGGGCAGGCATGGATAGATCATAAGCTGTATCATTGGAGGGAATATTCACATCAGTGAGATCACAAATCCATAGGAATATACTGCCTCAGATAATTGATGAGAAATCAAAGTCAATTGGTATCTTCTTCCCAGAGGTTCCTATTCCTAATAATGTAAATGATAGAAAATAGTATTGCTTCCATATCATTTGTCTCCCTAACAAAGGAAACATTTAGCTTCCAAATAATTTATTATATCTACAACATTAAGATTAAAATGTCCTTAATTTTTGCAGTTTATTAAAAGAAGATATTCTATTAAGACATATGTGGCTGATTTAATATTTTTAAAAGAATTGTTGTTTGCAGTGGTTCTTTTCCTAGAGGTCTTTTTTTTACAATTGCAAAACTTTATTTTTACTTATGAATAAGATTAACATTATTATTGACTCTCTTAAAACTGCATCTAATTTCCCGAAATACCCTAGGCTAGCTTTCTCCTTTTGTTTGTTTTCTGTAATTTTTAGTTTAGCTGATTCTGGTTTAGGAGTGTGTGTGTGTGTGTGTGTGTGTGTGTGTGTGTGTGTGTACACACACATACGTGCACATGCCTGTGCACACTATGGCTCTCTGGATATTCATGGATATACACACATTATATAGACTATTTCTTTTTCTAGTTAAAACAGAGCCAATGAGCAGCAGTGAGATTGCTACAACAGCATCAGACGGGTCTTTAGACAACTTCTCAGGATCAGGTATGAACAGCAAAACTTAATCTTCTTAGTCCTTGTGCTAAGTGCTCTTTCTGCTTCCTTTGTACTCTACTAAGGGATACACTACTTTACTCCTGTTGAAAATTTCTTACAATTCATCTAAGTGACATGATTTATTGATAATTTAATGACTATTTCAGTATTGTGCCTGAACTCTATCTATTGGCAAATCCCACCAAAATTAAGCTGAAGAAGTTTGACTTAACTGATGGCTGCATGAAAGATTAAAATGTGAAAGGGAAGGCCCTTCAGTAAACATAAAGTATATGTGGTAACATTCCCAGCAGTTACAAAGAAAGTATTTGTGCTTCCTGGCACAACGTAAACAACACAATCAGAGATGAGACATAATTGATGTTTGATTAAGAAGTATTCTAGAACCTTTTTCTGGGGGAAGAGTCCTAGGGTTAAATGTGAATTTGTGTTTCGGCTGCCTTAGGATGTCCATCTAGGAAAAAAATATGTTTGATACAAGTAGCACATTTCCAAAAATCTATAGAATCAGTTATGTGTAAATTAATGATGTTGGATCATATTTGAATATTTCTGATTGTCACATCCTGAAATATATTCAAACATGGAATTTGTGTTTCTCTAAAATGTTAAAGAATACAATGTCATAGGCAATAAGAAATGTAAGTTACACATATAAAGGAATCTTAGCTATCATGGTTTCTAAGTTATTGTAGACAAATGAGAATCTATGGTATATATCTAATGACGTTTTAGAGATAAAAATTATATAATGTTCCTATAGTAATCCACTTCAAAATCAATGTATTCTTACCTAGGTCTGGATGATAATTTGGATGGCCTGTTATGTTCTTTTCAAAACAATGTTTCCTCTGCTTTTATTACATTTCCAACAGCAGTTAGTTTTGTGTACGTTTGGAATGTATACAAAACATAGCACTCTATTCTGCTAACAGTCACTTAGAAAGTATAATAACATAACTCTGTACATGTGAAGACTTGGGAATACTTAGTTAACATTTTAGATAGATTACTTTAGATGTGTATGCACCCATATTGCTATCCATATTTTTTCCCTTCTTTCTAGCAATTGGAAGTAGTGGCTTCAGCCCAAGACAAACACATCAGTTTTCCCCACCACAGATATATCCTTCCAAGTAAGATGTATTTTCTCTTAATAAATATTTTTAATAAAAAAAAGTTTTCCTTATTTCAAATCATAATTGGGTCCATGTGTGAAATCATAATTTGAAATCAAAACTTGTTCTTCAGGAACTTTAATGTATTTGCTTCTTACTAAAAGTAAGAATTTGCTATAACTATTGTTTAGAAGAATTTTTCTTTTCTATAGCACAGTGTATTACAATGTCAAATAGCAGAGTTATGATATAGTTGTTACTTGGAAACCTTGCATGTTTCCATCTAATGCATGGGCTTTCTATTTTCTGTCATTTCTGACAAATAGCAGACCATACCCACATATTCTCCCTACCCCTTCCTCACAAACTATGGCTGCATATGGGCAAACACAGTTTACCACAGGAATGCAACAGGCTACAGCATATGCCACATACCCACAGCCAGGACAACCATATGGAATCCCCTCGTATGGTGAGTACATTATTAGCAGCATTATATAGTATTTTATGCTTGTGTATTAAGACGATCCACTTGAGGGAGCCTTAGGAAGTCTTACCTCTGAGCCAAATTTTCAGAAAGTATTTTCTTACCCTTTGGCTTCCAGATTCCCCACAAGATTGATTTTAGTGTGTATGGATCACACTGCATGTTGATTATTTAGGTAGTACAGGTGACAGACTACATAGTCTATATGTACTCTTTAAATTGTCATTTTTTTTACATTAGGTGTTTAATACTTTTCTGTTTTATTTTTGTACTCATAAAATACCATTTTGTGCATTTTTTTCTAAGAAAAAAATGGGTGAAGTCTTTGGTTGTTTTTTTTTTTGAAGGCGATTGGGATTAAGTGACTTGCCCAGGGTCACACAGCTGGTAAGTGTCTGAGGTTGGATTTGAACTCAGGTCCTCCTGAGTTCAGGACTGGTGCTCTTTCCACTGCACCACCTAGCTGCCCCAAACAACTGTGGTTAAGTGACTTTCCCAGGGTCACATAGCTAGTAAGTGTCAAGTGTTTGGTCTGAGGCCAGATTTGAACTCAAGTACTCCTAACTTCAGGGCCAGTGCTCTATCCACTGTGCCATCTAACTGCCCCACATGAAGTCTTTGGTAATAAGCCACTTTTCTATTTCTCAGATATCCAACTTTTTTGGGGGGAAGTAAAAGAGAGAATTAACAAGCTCTCCCTATGTCCTTTTCTATGGCAATATTATCAAAGGTCAGAGCAATCAACAGTCAGGAGAATGAATCAAACATTACCTTCTACATTGTATTTTTTGGGAAAAGTAAATCAAGAAATGTTTGAAGATCATATATGCATTCAAAATGTTCATATTTGGGATTTATGAGTAACTTTGGTCTGTGGAAAACTGTGGACCTTGGATTTCACTCTAGCCCACATGAATTGAAAACTGTCTTTTAAGATCCTACGTTAATTTAGAGCAAGCATTCAATATAAAGTTTTAGTCATTTTGGGAGTGCGTTTTTGGCCATTTTTCATCATATCATGATTTTAAATATTGATCATTTTAATTTATCTCTAAGGGTTACTTTTACTACACAAGAGAGGTGAAGGGAAGGAGAGGAGTAGACTCAATTCTGTAATTCAATGGAGTAGCATCAGGTTTAAGCATTAGTAATGCAGATATCTTAGTTACTACCCACTTCGAGTGCTTTATTCTCCATTTGTCCTGATTTCAGTGATGAATATTTTACTTTTAAGCATTTTTAAGAATATAATTGTAAGAATATAATTTTGAAATACAATAGGAAGCTCTGATCTGAGTCTGGTTCTTTCAGTGTGTTAGGAAAATTCCTTGACTTCAGTATAATGATGAAATGAAATAAATAATGAATGAAATGAAATTAACTAACTAAATAAAAATGAAATAAGAATAGCAAGATTACTATGCGTTTTAGATCTTAAGGATAGTTTTTTTAACATAAAAGTAAAATTTTTTTTTCTAATTTCCCCCATGTCCTTCCTCCCTATCCACCACTCCTCCACCCCAAGTAATTCTTCAGAGAATTATTTTCCTCTTCTTTAGGCTGTGACTACAAACAATTGCAGATTTATAGTTATCCTTAATCATGGTCTAGAGGTAGTGACTGGCCCTCCCTGTTACCAAGTTTTAGTCCTGACCTTGTGATATTAGACTTTAGCTTTGGAAACCATTTTACAATGTTATAAATGCTTAGAGAGTCAGCATGGTGTGAATACAGTCAGTCTTAGACTCCCAAATGCTTGAGTTTAAGCTCTCCTTCTAACATTTACCAGCTAGGTAACTCTGGACAAGTCATTTAACTTCTCAAGGCCCTAGGCAACCCTCTAAGACTTTAAATTACCAAACAGTTCTTGATCTCCATTGGTAGAGTTGTGTTGGCAAGATTTCCTTATAACAATAAGGGAATTCCCAATACTAATGAGATCAGGTCTGTAACAACAATAAAAAGGCAAAGGATTCAAAATTTCCATTTTAAAATATGAATTCTGATTTAGGCAAAAGAGGGAATTTAATATTTGAAGTACATGACACCAGTATAAGGAGTTGGAAAGGGAACTATTGACAAACGTTATGTATTCTGTATGCATTTTTAAAAACTGAACGCTTTGGAGAGTCTCAGTAATATGGTAGAAGAGTAGTCTTCACGTCAGGAAGACCTGGGTTCAAGTTCTTCCTCTGAAACATATTAGTTTTTGTGACCACAGACCACAAACATCACAGTTCCCCAAGCTACTCCCTAAGGAAATTATCCACAGATAAATTGCTGATATGTATCAGAAGTTTCCAGAACTGTTCCTCATGTTATTGAAATAATATATCCATATTCTCTGTCTTCTCCTTCCTACCCACCCCTCCAAAAAATTAGGTAAACATTTTTCTTCCAAGTTCCCTCTAATCTATCATTTGTCATGATTTGAATATAGCAAATGTGTTCCAGGATGAAGGATGGTTGCCTTCCTAATTCTATGCCTGACAGAGCTCCCATTGCCTTCAAAGAGAAATTTTCTAGTAGAATCACATTTGTTGTGGGCAGAGAAAAATAGAGCAATTAGGCATTTTTAAAGTTGTTTGCCAAGACAAAGCAGCTAGGGGTTTTGTCACCTCCAAAATTCCCAAGTGCTAAGCTAGTAGACAGCTGGCAAGAAACAGGAATGACATTTTTGTACATTCTCTGTTTAACCTGTGGTGACAATTGGATTTTCATTTTCAACCTCATCCAAAATCTCTTATTGAATAATACAGACAAAATAGAATAATAAAAGTGTATTTTCCAACTCTTTAAAAAAATAAACATAGTACATATAAATCAAAGCTCATTCATTAATAGTATTACTAGCTTAGAATCCAAACATGTGTAATTAAGGTAGATTTTTTTTTCTAGAAGACATATTTTGGGGGAAAGAACTTAAACATTTTATATATTCCATTTAAGAGTAATCCTTTATTTGGACTTGAAGGTGTAATGATAGTATATCCTTGTAAATTTACATTCCCTTTATTGTTCTTAAACAGTATAAATACTACTAGATGGTAAACTAAACCATTACTAGTTGTATACTATTGTGTTTCTACCAATTTTTGAATCTGAACAAATAGATAAGCTATTACTAACTGATTTAGGTGCATTGTGGGCAGGCATCAAGACAGAAGGTGGATTGTCCCAGTCACAGACACCTGGACAGACAGGATTTCTAAGCTATGGCACGAGCTTTAGTACTCCTCAACCTGGACAGGCACCATACAGCTACCAAATGCAAGGTCTGTATTTTGGCATCGTATTCTCTGATTTCATTTATTGTGGGGAGTGGGAAGACAAGCGTTTATTAGATACCTACTGTATGCCAGGCACTGTGTAATCACTTTACCATTATCTCATTTAGAACACAAAGCTAATTCTGTAATAATAATCATATGCCCATCAAGTATAACGTGACTAAATTCAGAGCAGTTGAAGAGGCGAGACTGATTAAGTGAAAAGAATGTTTTGGAATACTTTAAATGAAGTATAATTTTTCAAGTAAATAAAATGCTGTATATTACAACACGGACATATCATATGTTAGCAACAATAGTAACAACAAAAAAGGCATGCTGTATAAGAGGAAGAGCTTTGGAGTTGGAGCCGGAGTACCTGAGTTTGAATCCCACCTCTGCTCTTTGTACCATGTGTGACCTTACACAAAATCATTTCATCTCCCTGGGCCTCAGTTTCTTCATCTGTAAAATGAAGCATTTGATCAAGACTACATGACTTCTAAGTTTCTTTTCCTGTCTAAATCTATGATCCTGAGAATTTCATCAATGAAAAATGATGTCTTGAATTTATAAACACTGGTGAGCTATTCATTTGTTGTGGGGGAGGGGGAAGGGTATGCCACCTTCCTTGATAGGAACAGTAAATATTAACAAACTCTATTAAATAAAATGCTGAAAATAAATGCAGCCTTTCAAAAATTCATACTTTTTTCTTTTCACACACCAAGGTAAAAATGCTTCATGTGGGCTCAGTCACGGTCTCAATATTTTGCTGAAGTATCAACCTTGTTGTATTTGGAGAAGCTCATCACCAGATTGGCTGCAGGGTGATTGATTTTTTTTTTAGCCGTGGGCAACCCTCAGTGGTCATCTACTAAGTTATAGTGGAGGGAGCATGTTACACCATTGGTTCCCATTTATTCAGTGGTTCATGAACCCCTTTGTGATGGGTGGTCAAAGGGATTCGTTCTAGAAATTCTTTAAGAGCACCTTAATCAGTAAATAATTGCCCGATAATGTTACAAATATATGTTCTTCTTTGATAACAAGCCTGTATATGTTTACATTTGTTTCTGCAGCAATTTAGAGCTTGAGGGGGGAACAAAATTATCATTTTGGTTATTGTAGGCACTTAACAAATCTAAAGGAGTATTATGAGTAGCATATTAAATTATTCTAGGGCTTCATGATGGCCTTTTGTTGTTGTTATTGTTAAAAGGTGTTTGCAGTACAAAGATGTTGGGAAATACTGCCATACACATATGGCATTGTGGATCTTTGAAGTATTGAAATAAAACCATCTTAGAGGGGAAAAAGCAAACTAATTTATTGCTTTGAAAAAGAGGCCCACCATTTAAACCCTACTCTGCTGCCCCACAATGTTGTGGAAATTCTTAAAAGCTATACTAATAAAATATAAGCTCTAGAAGTTCCTTCCAAGCTGGAAAGGCTGAGGTATAGGCCTGGTGATGGACTCTCTGTTATCCAAGTTGTTGTTGTTCAGTTGTGTTCAATGCTTTATGAGTTCATTTGGGGTTTCTTAGCGAATATAAGGGAGTGGTTTGCCATTTCCTTCTCCAGCTCATTTTACAGATGAGGTTATATTTGAACTCAGGAAGATGAATCTTCCGACTCCAGACCCAGCACTCTACGCACTGTCCCATCTAGCTTCCTGGTTATCCAAGTAGAACCAGTCTAGCTAAGTTCCAAGTTTCTTATCACCAGAAGATTAGTCTTCAGAGGATAATGCTTGATTATGATAATGATTTTCTCATCTTAATCACTTGCTAGATATGTGATCTTGGGCAAATTGCTTAACCACTCTTTCTCATCTGTAGTGTAAGCGGTTTGGGCTAGATGACCATTAAGGTCCCTTCCAGCTCCGTGTCTATGATCCTTTGATAGTTTTTACTGTTGTTTTGTTTTTGCTACACTGACTCATGAGGTTAGTCCACTAAGGTATGGAGGAGCTGTAATTTATTATATAGAGGGAGTAACCATAGTGATGAAATCACTGCATCTTAGGTAGTCTTGAAAGGGTGTTGGGTGCTTATTTAGAAGTTCATTGCCATTGATGAGCCTTTAAGATCTTACTAGCAGAAGCTATTTGTCCTATGTTGCCTTTTAACAGGTATAGTCACAAATCGGTTTAATAGCAGTCATGATTCATTATTCTCCAATAGAATGACAGGTAACTGAGTTACTATATAGATGATAAATTGAATTTTCATTTTTAATAAACGTTTGTTGAATTGATTTGAGCAGATTATTTGTGTGTAATCACTTCTAAAGTGCTTGAGAATGAATGTTTCTTCTTTGTTGCCTGTCTGTTATATGTTCAAAAATCATTTAATCTTTTTTCTAAAAATACTGTATAACTGAACTTTATCCCATCCTCTATAGAAGAGTAGAATCTTGACTATGAAATTTTACTGTATATGAATTTTTCAAAGTTAAAAACTGTCTCATAAAGATGTCTTGGAGGATCGATGTTATGTATGGTATTCTTAAAGGATCTCAATAACCATTCACCTTCCCCCTTCTAGGCCTATTTAACATATTGTGAAACCCTTCTAGTCTATATTGAACTTTTTTGGAAATGGTTCACATTGTTTCCACTCACAAAAAAAACAAAAAATGAAGAAAGGATAAACTAGAAAAAAATAAGCTGGAGAGGAAAATCGGCTCAGTTCTTTCTTTCCTATTCTTTTCAAATGCAAGGATATACAAAGGGTGAAGCTAATTCTTTTAGTGGATTGACAGTATCTGGCATATCAGATGCTTACTGAGTCCAATTGATTGATTGATTTCTGAGCTTAATAAAGGTTTAGACCAAATAGAACATAGATAATACCAACTATTTTAATACATGGAGAATTTTTACCCTTCTAACTAGCATACTTATTATTTTCATCATTATTTTTCTGGTCAGGAGTATCCATGGACCAATAAAATATTGTTTTGATAAAATGCATCCATCATACTGTTGGTTCCTTGAGAGTTGGGACTATTTTTGTTTTTTAGTATTCCTATTGTCTATCGTAATGCCTGGCATATTGTTGTTCATCCTCTGTTCTCAAAGAGAACCAGTGGCATCATGAGGGTGATATCTTGACTTGCAAGTGAATTGATTTAAGTGAGTCAGAGCTATGCAAAGTCACCAGCCTCACTTTTTCCTCCAGACTCATCTGAATCCAGTGGTAAGACATAGGTCAGGATGATTGGCAATGACCTGGGATGCAGTGGGAGACTTTGGGCTTTTTAAGCTAAGGTCTTTCCCAGGTTTCTAATGCTTGTTGTCTTAATTTTAGTGGCATTGCCAGTGGGGTTTTGGAATTTATTCTCCAATTCTGATTCTGCGTGTGAGATTCCATTACATATAAAAGTTTCTATAAGGTAGAGATACTTGTACATTTTAGATTATTGAAAAGTACTTTCAAAAATGTTGGTAAGTATTGAACATGCTAAACAAGAAAGCTCATTGAATAGCAAATTGGGAGAGAAAGAGGTTGGCATGGTACTCTGCAGAATATTTCTACCTAGATTCCAATGACCACTTAGATTTATTTAACATATTTCCTTCTGGTAACAAAAAAAATGCCTACCTCTATTGTTAAATAATTTTGTTTGACTATATTTAGGAATTATCATTTGAGACAATTAATTTTTGGTGATTCTACCTAGGTAATTCTTATTTAAAGAAATTTTTGTGGTGATATCTGTTTCTTTTATTTTAAAGAAAGCCAATAATACTCAACAGGTACTTAATAACAGTAATTTTAACAATAAACATCTCAGCAACATTTTAACATATTCTAGGAGTTATTACATGAACTATATAAAAATACAGAGATTTTAGTCATATGTAGTATAGTAAGAGTAGCTTTGCACATGGGCTCAAATGTTGCCTCTGATTATTACTAGCTACATAGTCTTTTAGCAAATCACTTCATCTTTCTCAGCCTAAGTTTCCTCATCTAGAAATACAGAAAATAAAACTTATACTTCCAATATCCCTCCTTCACCTGGAGAGAGTTGTATAAAAAAAAATTCTTATCATCTTAATATATTCTAAAATATGATCAGATATTATTTATCTTCTATTCTTTTACCAATGTGCCAGATTAAATGCTCAATAGTTACAGTTCTCCAGGATAACATAAAAAATACTTACTTTTATTATTCAGTGAAGATCATTGAAGTTTCAGAACATCTCCACTGAGGGTAGGATGTCAGCATTTCAGGTGTATTCCAAACAGCCAACAAGGCCTTACAAGAGATACATCTCCTAGGTGAAGGTGAATCAGTGCAAAGCACAAAGGCATTTATTGGATGCAGTAGGACAATGGCTAAGTCATTATAAATACTGAACTAGGCAACGATTGAGAATTCTGTTATTCTGCATATAGTTGCCTGTACAATAGTATTTCCCAAAGCCTTCCTATGACATAAATTTCAAATTTTCTCAAGGAAATGACAAAGGGAAGAAACATAAGAGACTTGCACTAACTTTGTTATGGGGAAGAGGGAAGGGACATATTCTGGAGAGAGAGAACTGCACCAATAATTTTACACGTGGTAAGAACTCATGATGTAGAAACCCTCTGCATCTGCTGATGCAGATCAGCGCCTATAACTTAGACTTTATTATTTTTTTTAGAAAGTTTACCTGTATTAATCTAACATAAAAAAATCTAAAACAGGGTAATCCCAGGAAAAGCAAAATCAACAGATAGATAATAAACACCAACTACTTGCTGGGCATTGTGGTATATGTCAAACATAAAACAAAGCAGTGTTTGCCTTCAAGTAACTTTCCTGGTATCATGAAAACTAACTTGTAAAAAAGATATCTAAATACTAATAATGGATTCTAAATAACTTAGAAGGGGAGCACTAACAGCCAGGGAACAAGGGGGAATCTGGAAAGGTCCAATGTAGGTGGTGGTATTTCAGATGAGCTTTGAAGGAAGTGAGGCATTGTAAGAGGCAGGAGCCAGAAG